GTAATATTTTTGGCCGGAAGTCTACTTCTAAAGTCTACTGAAGGAAAAGTCAACAGATTGGTCAATTGCAAAAATGACCTTTTTTTTAATAGACTTCATTAGTAGACTTCTCTATGAAAAAGTAGACTTCTCCTCCAGTCTACATTTGAATTCTGCTGTAGAAGTCTACTTTTTGGCGTTTTTTTTTAAAACGCGTTTTAGGCAAATTTATAAAGTATTTTTCAAATTTTTTTGGATTAGAATTGCTTCTTAGTAAGTGATTGAACTATCCAGTGAATTTTATTTCATTTCATTCGATATTTATTGTTGAATCAGAAGTTTTGATTTTTAAGCTACTTAGCTTATCAAAGTTGACTTCGCCGTGTAGTCTACTAATGTTCTTTTCGGGAGAAGTCTACTCTTGATACAAAAATGTTTATGCAGTGTTTGCTAATATGGTTTATATGGTTATTTTTTCAGAGAATGGCTCAAATTCCAGTTGTGTATGGGGAATAGAAGATTGAGGAAAATTCATGGCATTTTGTTGTTGACATGGGCAAAGGTGGAGGAATGTGGTTTTTGAACGATGGTTGCACCTTGGGGGAGCTTACTGAGATGGCGCAAGATGATTATAACTTGGGCAAGAAGACTGATCTCATCGAGTTAACCTACTCATTACCAGTCTCAATGTTGCAAACTATGACTCCAGATACACCTCCAATGCATGTCACCAATGATAGACAAGTTTCAAGCTTGATTGCGTTAAGCAGAGTGCATATGGTACGTCTTTGTGTGTCTAGTCGAGTGGAGATTGATACTGAGGAGAACCAGGAAGGATCAGATGAAGATTTAAGTGAGGAGTTTGAGGAAAATTCAGAACATTCTACCGATGATGAGGCAGCCAGTTCTGATGTGAACGAGGATTGAGAAGATGTCGACGATGCAGCTTACTCTGACGGAGAAGATTACAGTGTCTATGGTAAAGTGAAAGATGAAGATGATGATGAAGATGAAGTCTGTATTGAAAATGTCAGAAACAGATATGCTGAAACAGGAAGCACGCCCATCTCATGGTCTGATAACATATATGTTAGGGCAAGTTTCCCTACAAAGGAGAAGCTGTTATCAGAGGTTAGATTGACTGCGATAATGTTAAAATTTGCTTTTAAAACAGAGAAGTCTACGAAGACCCTGTTTGTGGCTAAATGTCAAGTGGAAGGATGTGTTTGGATGGTTAGGGCGAGCGTGAAGAATGATGCATCCACTTTTTGGGTGACAAAATATGTGATAGACCACACATGTTCAATAGGCCAGCGAATGGCTCAGCCTGGGAAGTCTACTCCTAAATATATTGGCAAGCTGTTTATAAGCCATTTGGACATCATTGATGGTCTTACACCACAACATGTAAAGGATTCAATAAAGCATATGTTTGGCATCAAGATGGATTACACTACTTCATACAGATCTTTGATATATGCCCAACAATTGGTCAGAGGAACAGCTGAAGATGGATATGCTAGTCTCCCAGCTTACCTACATTCAGTTAACAAAGCCAATCCGGGATCTGTATCAGCTTTTGATGTAGATTCCAATAACAAATTCAAATATCTATTTCTCATATTTGGAGCATCGATTGCCGGTTTTCAGTACATGAGAAGAGTTATTGTGGTGGATGGATGTCATCTAACAGGGAAATACGAAGGTACTTTGTTGGTGGCCACCGCACAAGATGGAAACTTTCAGATTTTTCCTTTGGCCTTTGGAATTGTTGATAGTGAAGATGATGCTTCATGGGAATGGTTTTTTTCTAAACTGCGTGAATGTGTCTCAGATGGTTATCCTTTGGTGATAGTTTCTGACAGACATCTTTCTATTAAGAAAGCTTGTCAAACTGTTTTCCCATGGGCAAAACGAGGGATATGCTACTACCATCTACAACATAACATAGTAACAAAGTTTAAGGGGAAGCAGTTGCTGTACTTGGTCAGACGTGTGGCTTATGCTTACAACCTCTATGACTACAACCGGTACATGGCGGAGTTGAGACAGATCAAGCCTGACATTGCTGACTATTTGGAAGAAGCCGATGTCTCCCTTTGGTCCCGAGTTTATTTTGTTGGAGACAGATACAATATTAAGACTAGCAATATCACAGAGTTTATAAATGCTGCACTTAAGAAGGCCTGTGGCTATCCCATTTAATTCCTCTTGGATTTCATACGAGAGAAGCTTGGTCGGTGGTTTTTAAAACACAGAGAGGATGCTTTGAGTCTCACAACATATAATACTCGGGGAGTGAAGTATTTTCTGGCGATTCGTGGACATTATGCAGATGCAATGGAGGAGGACCGAATTGACAATTGGAGATACTATGTGAAAGGATGAACCAGGAATTGTATTGTTGCTTAGGAACATGGAATGTGTGAATGTGGTGTGTTTTATATCGAGAAAATCCCATGTTCACATGCTATTGCAGCTGCATTAGCCGGTGGGATAGCTGTGGAATCCCTTGTATGTCCTACTTACTCGAAAAACTACTTGTTTGCTGCATACTCCGCCAACATATATCCCCAAATTTCAGAGGTTCAAGGAGTCCAACTATCAATATGTCTGCCACCAGACATTCGGCGCAAACCAGGCAGACGGAAAAAGTCTCGGTGGCAATCATGGCTAGAAATAGCTAGGAGCAAAAGCAAGAAGCCAAGGAAGCTGCACAAACTATACAGCTGCTCACAATGCAAGCAACCTGATCATACCCTACCGAATTGTGTAAGTTGATCTAAACTCATCTAATAATGTCCTATACAATGTTAACAGATTTATCTACTAAACTTTATGTCTCTCACTTAGACGTCGAAAATTCACGAGGACAATAACAAGAAGGCTCCGGAATAGAATGACAAAGCTGCTATTGTTTTCCGGAAGTCTACTTTGGAAGTCTACTATTGAAGTCTACTATATATGTAATGTTTTGTTAAAGGTTAGATTTGAAACGACTTCATTTAAGAAACTGCTTTAACGACTTTAACAGTGCATATAATTGTTGTATCTGTTTGTGTCTGTTATTTCTGCTTATAAATTCTCGATGACCACGAATTATAGTTTCATTCCAGACCCTAGAAGATGTCCACCCTGATAAACTTCAACTCTCTCCCTTTTGACATTCTGTGGGATATCCTTTTAAAAATCACATCTCGTTCCTACGCTTCGCTCTGTAAAGCAAGGGTTTTTTTTCCAAAAATCTAAATGAGATTAATGAAGAGGGTTTTTTAAGAGCCGTTGATCTAATAACCTTGAACATTCCATGGGTATGGGATCAACATGGGAGGGTTGACGCATTC